AAAAAAAAAAAAAAAAAAAAAAAGTATCCCAACCTCGCTTATGTCCTTAAACTTGTCCCTGCGGCTGCTTTCCCTGCACTGTAAGACGCGGCCATCACCCTGAAGATGGTTATGACTACTGACGGCTGGTGCCAAGTTATCAAAGAACAATGCTTCAGGAATCGGTCAGTTGGTCTGATTTATTTTTTTTTGTGGGTATATCAGGGATAAAACTCAGGACCTAGTGCTTGCCAAGCAGGAGATTATGCCACTGTGCTATCTCTCTGGCAGATCTGATTTTTAAATTCATCTATATTTACCAAACAGTTTCCTGCTAATAATTTGAAGTTCTTTTTTATTTTATTTTATTTTTTTTTTTGCGGAACCGGGGATTGAACTCAGGCCCTTGCACTTGCCAGAGAAGCACTTATTCTACTGAGCTATCTCCCCAGCCCCAATAATTTAAAATTCTAAGAGAACTTGTGGCAGACTAGCTGGTACAAATATTTCAACTTCCTAGCAATAAAAGTTTCTCATTAGAAACATATTTATTACATTGGCTCAGGTTGACCCTTGATGTCACTGGTAAGATCTAGGTCTGGGCCATGTAAAGCTACCACTGTGACACCTCCTCTCCCTGCATCTGTTACAGCTTGTGCCTAGATGTCCCCTAAAGCCTCACGTGGCCACAGGTGGGGCTTTCTGAGGGGTGGCTGGATCTAGAGTGTGTGACGCCGGGACTGATCCATGGTGCAGTGCTGGGACCGAGGGCACTGGGATTAAGGCTGAGAGTGCTGCCTGCCCTGAGTGCATTGGGGAAGATGTAAGGGGTAGACAGAGCTGTGGCCATCCCCTGCCTGCTACTCTGCTACCTACGGCCAACCATGAGCTGCTGTCTGTCCTCTGTGATGCCCCTCTGCTACGTCACGCTGTTCTGGAGCCAGCCTAGCCACCAGCCAAACAAGCCTTTCCTCCTGTAACTTTGGGTGCCGGGTATTTTGTCTCAGCAGCAAGAAAAGTAAGGGGGCATCCGTGGGGTGAGCAGGGCCCCGCTATGGCAGCATTCCAACCTCTTTCTTTTGAACATGTTAGTGAGAACTGCATAACTTATTCTCCCATTAATGAAAAATGAATTCTTTTTTGAAATTTTTAATTTTCAAAAATTTTATTTTACATATTTGGTACAGGGTCTCAGTACACAGCTTAGACTCGTAGTGATCCTCCTGTTTTCAGCCTCCCCAGTGCTGGGATTATAAGAGTATGCCACCATACCCGGTCTGCGTGCCCAGGGTCAGGGCTGCCACAGAATGTGGTGCTGGGGATTGAACCTGGGTCCCTGTACTTGTCTAAGCAGGCCCTTAGTCTACTGTGCTGTCTTGCTGGCCTGGAATAAAGCCTCCTTATGCAAAAATCAGTTCTTCTCATTTGTCTGTTTAATAATACATTACCTAACCTTGTCCTACAGCAAGAAAATGATTCAATAAATCATGGTTTACTCAAAGTATACACCACATAAAGCTATTTAAAATTCATGCTTTTGTAGAGTACCTAATGATGTGAACAGACATATTAAATACATATAAATACATGAATTAAATACTAGGCTTATTCTTTCCTGAATTATGTAATTATAGACAATTTTTTTCCTATGGTATTTCCTAAAAATGGAGGAAAATAACCAAATAATCTATATTTAGTCTATTAACAAAGATAAAATGAATAAACTTTTCCTTTCTGCTTTCTGAACTTAGAGAATTAAGTCACAAAAAGCTTAATATCAGAGAAATTTTTAATAATTTCTTTTTTTTTTTTTTTTTTGGCGGAACCAGGGATTGAACTCAGGTCCTTGTACTTGCCAGGGAAGCGCTTATTCCACTGAGCCATCTCCCCAGCCCCAATTTCTGAATAACAGATATGCCATGTATTTTTTCTTGAAAAATTATACACACGTAAATTCATTTATAAGAATAGGCTAAAGAGCTGGCCAAATAGCTCAGCGGATTAAAGTGCCTGCAAGCAGTCACAAGGGCTGGGGGCTCCACACCCAGGCCTGCTGCACTGGTTCCGCCCCTGGGACGTGCTGAGACTGCGATTAAGACTGGGCGTGGTGGCGTACCCCTGTAATCCCAGTACTTGGGAGGCTGTAAACAGAAGAATCACTATGAGTCTGATCTAGTAGTGAGACCCTGAACAACCTGTAGACCCTTTCCAAAAAATACAGAAAAAAGAAAGAAAGAAAGAAAGAAAGAAAGAAAGAAAGAAAGAAAAGAGTAGGCTATCACGCCATTTAGTATAAGTGCAATGTTAAAGTAGGTATAACTCAACTTAAGTGTGCATTCCTATTAGGCTTGGTGTATCAAAAGGTATACCAGATATGAAAAATGACATCTTGATAATTTTTGGATGGTGCAAGAGTTAAAGCAGATTCTTTATACTTAACTATAGTAGTTGAGAGATATAGACCAGAAAAAAGCATCCAGGAGTACTAGAATGCCTAGAATTGAACTCTCACATGCAAAACTTACTGGATATGTGCCTTTGGTAAGCTATTCGGCCTCTATGTACTTTGATTTCCTCAACTGTAAAATAAAGATGATATCTAGTTCACTGGGTCGCTGGGAGAATTAAATAAATTTGTGCATGTGCACATGGTGTGTGCTTGAATAGCATTAAGCATGTGGCAAATAATACAGTATTACAGAATAAATCAATTAACATGAGACACTCTTTAGAGAACTTTAAACAATTTTAGGTAAAATACCTGGCATTTCATAAGCATCAAATATTAAGTGGTACTAGAAGGAACATTATCTGAATAATGTTCAGAATTTAACTGGACACGACTACAGAATCTACTCACCTCGTCCACAATGACATGAGACACACTGCTTAGGAGGCCATCTTCCTGGAGTTTTCTTAGCAGAACTCCTGTTGTACAATAAAGCAACCTGGTGGACTCGCTAGCACGAGACTCCATCCTGATCTGATATCCACATAAAGAATTCTGCAGAAGAACACAGAGCCATGACAGTCTCTCACGTGATCTGGGAAATAAGCTGAAAAGTACAAGGCGCAGGTGCCCATCTTCTTACTATATGGCGCAATCTGAGTAAATCTAGCTAGCGCAATGCATTATCATCAAAAGTATTTTTCTGGGCCAGAGAGATAGCTCAGTAGAATAATTGCTTGCCTGGCAAGCACAAGGGTCTGAGTTCAATCCTCGGTTCCGTCAAAAAAAAAAAAAAAAAAAAAAAAAATCAAAAGTATTTTGCTATGGTCACCATTTATATGAAACTATAAAATCCATATTGGTGATTTTATTATTTATTTATTTATTATTTGGCACAGGGTCTTGCTAAGTAGCTTGGACTCTTAGTGATCCTCCTGCCTTTCCAGCACTGGGATTACAGGTGTGCACCAGCATGCCTGGTTTCGGTGACTGGCATGGCATGTGGTCCTAGGGATTGAACCTGTGTCCTTGCACTTGCTATGCAGGTGCTTATACCACTGAGATATCTTCCCAGTCCCTGTGTTGGTGATTTTAAGCAGAAAAACTTGGGGCTAGGGAGAGAGTTCAGTGGCTTTAGCGCCTGCCTAGCAAACACAAGGTCCCAAGTTCAATCCCCAATACCACAGAAAAGAAACAGAAAAGGCTTTCATTCTTTTCAGGTGTTGCAAAAAGATTTTTTCCTGGCTTCACATACTAATATGATTGGAAAAACATTAACACATGCTAAATTTTCACTAAATTATCTTGGAGCAAATATCAAGGTACTCGGATACAAAACTTTACAGCAGCTTCTGTCTATCCTGTAACACCAAAAGCAGCGGGCAGCACAGGAGGGGGCCTCCTGCGTGAGGGGACAGGGCCGCCGTGGTTCCCTCACACTGTCCTCTCCTCAGTCCTGCAGCCTCTCCTTGGTGTTGCGTACACAACTGTTGCTCCTTATAGGGCAGCAACTGTGTACTTTTTCCATTTTTTTTTCTTTAACTACAGGGCTTGAAAAATTTTCTAGTATACTAACCTATACTGTTTCCCTATCTTCTCACTGAAAGAATGAGTATCATTTGGGAATGCATTCCACAGAAAAGACTTACAGAATCATGGGCTATATGACATCAGAGTAAAATGTGAGTTTGTCCATATGTTTCCAATGTTCAATTTAGTGAGTAGTATATTTGCATATTTAATTATAAAAGTTTTCTTATATATGAAATATTAATGACAAAATTACTGATAAACTTTTTCATATAAAGTGGCATAATATACTCTCAAAGCAAACCTGAAAAGTGCTTGCTTATGCTCATGAACCACCAGAAGCCCTACACGGCAAGTTCCACGTGGAGCCGTCATCGGCGAGGCAGGGAACGCCACCTTACCCGTCCTCCGGGGCCGCCGTCACAGCCCAGCTCGTCACACACCCTGGTGGCCAAGCTCACTGCGGAGATCCTTCGCGGCTGGGTGCACACAAGGCTACACTTACTCGCTCCCCCCTCACTGAGAAGCAAGTCTTCCAACAGAAAGTGCGGGACCTGAGTGCTTTTGCCGCTCCCTGTCTCCCCCGCCACAACTACCACCCGGTGCCGTTTGAGCGTTTCCACAATCGCGTCCCTGTGTTTGAACACGGGTAACTGCTGTCTGTCCTTCAGCAGTCTCTGGTACTTCGGTGTACTTTGTAACTTTCTAAAAAGGTTTCTAACAGGTTCCAAATCTTCCGCGTTTGCAGAGTCCAAGGACAGAGCAGAAAAATCCTCGTCAGAAACTAAATTTTCCCAAGATTCCTCAGGATCGTCCGAGTTTTCTTTCATATTTTCAGTATGCTGTTGTTGCTGCTGCTGTTTCAACTTATTCAAAAGTTTGGCAATAAAAAGATCACGGGGCTTGTTGCTTTCCATCTTACTTAATTCTTCCCTTTTCTTCTCGGCATCACTCCACTCCAGCCAGACGTCCCGGTAAGTGGGGGGGAGTAGCTGATGCACGGACTACACAGGAAGACAGAGCAGGATTTTACTGTTACTGGTGGGTATCGAAACTCAACAGACTGGAACTGAGAAGTACAGTTATATTCTCTTAAAATATGATTTGACTCAAACTAGTAAGTGCTTACTTTAATACGTACAATAATATAAGTTCATGAGCGCATCATACTCAGTACGTCTCTTGGTTTACTAGCTACGCAGCCTTTGGTGAACACTTTCAGCCCCCAGGGGCCTCAGTCGCTGCATTAGAAGTGACCACGACAGTACTTCCCTCGTAGACACCGTCTGGGGCTAACTTTCAGACAGTGTCCGCAAAGTGCTTATTCACAGAGCAGAGTACTAGTGAGCACACATTTATTCTTTACTTCTGCAACGGCGCGACACAAACCGTTACATGACCCGTAAGACTCTTTTAAAACATACAAAGCAACTTTTGAGATTTTGTTAATTGTATAAGCCAAAATACTTTCAATCAACCATAATAGATGGAAACTAAATTATTCCAGTTTTGTGCTACAGAAGAACCCAGAACAATCTCTGACACTGATAGTTACTTTTACCAAGTAAATATGGCTTATGATAAATGTTTTTGCAAAATGAGAGAAATAAAGACCTTAAGAACTTTGAATGGCAGAAATTAAAAAAGAACTAGAGTTGCATTTAAACTAGTATCAAAATCTTCCTAGGAGGAAAAATATACACATTTATTATGAAAACAAAATGTTGACAGTCTAAATTTGAAAAGAGAGCATTGTGTTCTCTAAGAGGGCTGTTTCCAGTAGTACTTTAACTTTACCTTAGACTGGCACTGTATTGCTAATATAATCTAAAATTGAAAACTAGAACCAATGTCTAGTGTTTTAAAGTTTAATGACAATGTAACAAAAAAAATAAAAATTTAAAAATTATCTTTAATTCAATCACCTTGCACAAGTATTTTAAATCTGTAAATTAGTACAGACCAAAAGTTGGACCAGTCAAATGGTCCTTCAGACCTGCTGCCTAAACCAAGGAAGACTGACCTGTGTTTACAGGTGAAAGGAAGCCGAAGTATAAATCATCAGAAGCAGCGGTCCGTGAGACCAGCACAGAGCGCCATAATGAAATGGTACCTTTCACACATACATACATTTTTATGTACAGTTTTAATATACATTAAGCATCACTTATGGAAAATTCTTGTGGCCAAAGGTGCTTTGCATTTTGGAATACTTACACACACGTGATGAGATGTCCTAGAGATGGGACTTGTCTAGCCACAAAAATCCATTTATGTTTTAGATATACAGTATGATATGTATATATATATATATAGCCTAAAGCATTTATACAATACTTCTGCTCATGACAGTTCTTTAGTACACTATTTTCCACTTGTGGAATCAAGCTGGTGCTAAAAAGAGATTCCTATTTTGCAGCATTTCAGAGTTCAGACTGTTGGATTAGTGAGGCTAAACCTATCATCTCTATGTATACCATCATATAGTCATCATTTCATGAATATTTTTAAAGTATCTAATCTTAAAAAAATCTCACCTGCCCTTTCACTAGGCGGTAAAGGGCTAACGTCGCGCCCAAGTGCTGAGCCTGCATGCCATCCTCTGTTAAGATAGTGGGGCACACCACCAGGACATCGTCATCGGACTTGATCACTCTCACCCTGCAAAGAAGCCACACATTCGCTTTGATTTTTATTTTTAGCAGAACCAGGGATTAAACTCAGGCCCTTGCGCTTGCCAGGCAAGTGCTTATTCTACTGAGCCATATTCCTGGCCCCCAAAATTTGTTTTTAAATCGAAGAGATCAGATCAATGAAGTTAGAAATTCATTAAGACCGAACTTAAATTTGTATTATTTAAATATTTCCACTGATGGTACTGTATTCAATAATGATTTATAAGCACTATAGTCTTTTTTTTTTTTTTTTTTTGTCAAGACAGGATCCCGCTATGCAGGTAGGCCTGGCCTTGTGCTCACTGCTTAGCCCCCAGGCTGGTCTTGAACTCGCAGAGATTCTCCTGTCTTAACCTCCTCAGTGCTGGGATTACAAGCACTATAGTCTTTTTTTTTTTTTTGGTGGAACTGGGGATTGAACTCAGGTCTTTGCGCTTGCCAGGGAAGTGCTTATTCCACTGAGCCACCTCCCCAGCCCCCATAGTCTTGAAATGTGAAATTAGTGTTTCCTAAATGTTTATTTAACTCATTTGAAACAAAAAGGCTTTCTTATACATTTTTTCAAAGTTCACTCTATTAACCAGAAAACATACCTACATTTCCAGTATCGACCTACTGGAACTTTTTCAAAGGAAGGATTTGGACTCTTGGGAAGATTCTTTCTGACCCAATCAATTAGAAATTGCTTGGGAGACTTTCCAGTCCAGCTTCGAGCAGTATAGTCAAAATTTCTTACATCATGAGGGTCTTTCTTTTTATCTAAAATGGAAGACAATGATGGATTATTCAAAAATTGTCACATGGGGCTGGGATCTATCTTCGGGACAGAGTTCGTAACCCAGCCTGAGCAAGGACACGGCTACAAGTTGTGATCTTCCTGCCTTGGCCTCCAAGACTGCTGTGATGACCCGAGTGGCACCACAGCCAGCCTTCACTTTAGGCTTCTAATATTTTATCTCTGTTCTTTGGAGGGTCTGTCCCCCAACTTGTCACCAGGGTAACATCTAATCATCTGTCAGAAGTGAAAGGCTTGCCCAATCCAAAACAGCCACCCTGACATCTCTATTATTAAAAATCAATTTTCTTTGATGATACACATCACAGTTCGACATATTTTTGTGTATACTTAAAGCTCATTCTCCTAATTAAGGCTACACACAACAAAAAGGCAGAGACTGGGTTATTTTGTTCATTACTGTACATATAGTACCTGTTATTGTGCATGACAAGAATTCAAGAAATATTACTGAAAGACTACGTACCTTACATACTTATTTATTTCATGTATTTGGTGCAGGGTCTCACTACACAGCTCGAACTCCTAGTGATCCTCCTGCTTTCAGCCTCCCCAGCACTGGGATTACAGGCATGTGCCACCACACCAGAACTCGGTGGCTGGCTCAGCGTGCCCAAGGGCTGTGCCAATGAGGCATGTGGTGCTGGGGACTGCATCATGGTCCCTGTGCTTGCCTAAGCAGGTACTTAGTCCCCTATCTTGCTGGCCCAATAAGTACTTTTTAAAACAGACAATTTGGTTCAGGTCTGAACTATAATATGTAAATATATAATCTATGCCAATAATTAACTCAAGAGCACAAAGCCGTGCACGATCACTTACATCTGTAAACAATTAAAGAAGAGGTACTAAGCTACTTGACCCTGGGGACAGGTTGGCCGATAGAAGGGGTAGCAGGAGGAGTGAAGTAATGCGACGAGAGACAGGTACTTTGAAGAATGGTGAACATAGCTGGAAAAGAAGGTAGCAAGGTGGATCGCGGCAGGATGCAAACGATCGCGAGTGCCATGACAGAGTCTGGCCTTACACTGATGTCAGTAGGCTCAGAGTCATTCAAGTGTCAATAGGAGCTGGTGAGGACACGGCTCAGTGAGCGGGTACTTGCCTCGCAGAAGTAAGGCGCTAGGTTTGATCTCTAGCATGTCAAACAAAAGTAATAAAACAGGTTTTTAAATAGAAAATTCACATTTAGATCCCTGTTGCATAAAAGATAACTACTATGAGTTTGGAGAATGGACCGGAGAGAGATGAGACTGGGGTGACAAGATATTTGTAATTACAAACTGCTATACAAGTTACAGTTATATAGCTATCTGTATATATATGTATATACATACAAAAATATATCTATATCTATACATATTTTTTTAAGACTGGGTCTTTCTGTGTAGTAGAGGCTGGCTTTGGACGATTAGCCCAGAATGGCATTAAGCTCACAGTTGATCCTCCTGCCTCAGCCTTCTGAATTCTGGGATTATAGGTGTGCACAGCCATGCCTGGCTTACTTAAAAAATAATAATTTTTTAAAAAAACTTAAGTTTATTGGTACAATTTAGGTGTCCATATGACCACATTCATTATAGGGAACTGGCTTTTTTTTGGTGCTAGGGATTGAATTCAGGACCTTGCATTTGCCAGGCAGGCTCTTATTCCTGGCTTATTTTTTGAACAAAACTTAAGAATGTGTAATTATACCACCATTTTAAATAGCTTACCAAAATGCAAAGTAATGAGCTCTGTAGTAATGCATAACTTGATACGCAGTCCTAAGTTACAACCCAGCCACTTGCCCTCACATCACCTTTCTCATCGGCGGCAGCAGGTGTAGACTTTTCAAATAAATTAAAGTCCAAAGTATTTTCCCCGTCTGTGGCTATAGGAGGCTTCTTTCTTTCAATTTGTTGATGTGATACCTTTATGGCTGGATTGAATACTGGATGGTCTTCTAAAGTTTCCATTTCTACCAAGAAAAAAAGACATTAATTTCTAGATTTTTCTTTTTTTGGTTTATGTGTGGTGCTGGGGATTGTGCCTAGGGCCTGTGCACTAAGCCACATCTCTGTGACTTTTTTATTTTGAAAAGGAGTCTAAGGTGCCCAGGCTCAAACTCGCCATCCTCCTGCCTTGCCTCCCACAGTGCCAGGCACACGTCTGGGCCACCACGCCTGGCTATGTGGCTGTGCTTATGCCTTTTTACTTGGTAGAAGTAGCTTCAAAAACATAACTTCTTCTTTCTCCTTATAGCCAGTAACTTAATCATTCCCATAAGGAATCTATGCTAAAAGTCATAAACAATATACTGGCTTTTATAACGTATATAGAAACTTTAAAAACAAAGTATTTGATACATTTAATAGACTTGAAAAAATCTTCATTCAAAATTCTTATGAGATTATAGTTATGTCTCCTTCATGACTAGGGACAGCATTTTGTGATATAAACCTGAAGTTGGGGGGCCAGGGAGATGGCTCAGTAGAATAAGTGCTTCCCTGGCAAGCGCAAGGGCCTGAGTTCAATCCCCGGTTCTGCCAAAAAAATAAAAATAAAAATAAAAATAAACCTGAAGTTGGGGAACCTGCATGCAGGCCAAATTCATTCCACTGCACGTTTATGGATGGCTTGTAAGCCAGAATATTTTCCATCATTTTCAAATGTTTTTTAAAAAGTATTTGGTGCTATGTGACAATTATATGAAATTTATAGTTCACTGTCCATAGATTTTGACTGAAACATAGCCATTTATTTCTGCACTGTCTCTGGTGCTTGTGTTTGTGACACCAGAGTTAAAGAATAGTGTTCATATGGCCCACTGAGTATACAGTATCACTTGTATACTGTATTGGTTTTTTTTTTTTTTAATAATGTCTTTTATTTTATTTTATTTATTTTTGTGTCCAACTCAGTCCACTGGGGAGCAAGGCTGGCGCAGCATGCGGTACCGGGGATTGAACCGCGGTCCCAGGGCTTGCCTAAGCTTGCCTAAGCAGGCGCTTTAGACCGCTGAACTATCCTGCTGGCCCCTCACTTGGTTGTTATAGACAAAGTTAGCCAAAACCTAGATATAAACAGGAGAGAGAATAGAAATGTTTTAAAGAGACAGTAACATTTCCATATCTAAGAATCTAAAAATATTTACCTCTTTGCAATTTCCTTATTTTTTCTTGAGTCTCTTTTTGGCCCTGCTTATTTTTTTCTAGTTTAAACGTAGCTGCTTGTTCCTTTGCATCCAGAAGTTTTGCTGCAAGATGCAGGTACCTTTCGTTCTGTTCCAGATGAAGAGGAAATAATAAGACCAAGATTATTTTATCTGTGGGCAATACGTTGTACCAAAACCTATGGCCTAGATCAGCACAGTCGTGTCTGCCTATAATCCTCGATTCTTGGGAGGTCGGGGGAAGCAGACTGTGAGTTTGAGATCAGCCTGAGTCGAGTAATGAGGCCCCCACCTCAGGGAACAGAATAAAGTAAAATGACTATGATCTAACTTTGGCCTTTGTTCCAGCAAATCTACTTTTAGGAATTTTTCTGTAGAAATAAAACACTGGGAAAGTAAGACAAAAAAGAAACAATAAAGCGCCTGAGAAAAAAGATTATCACAAAACTCAAGAACATGATTCTACTGAGCAAAACTTAGAAAGAACTGAAGTTTAACTTAAATTACTATTTTATTTCCTTAGGTTAACAAAGTCCAGTAGGTTATGAACATAAAGATGTGTGGCACACACAGTGCAGCTCTGGAATACAATTGTTAAAAGGTAGAAAAGAGCAGACAAACAAGTGTGTGTTCTGGATTTGTGGGCTGTTCTGCACTGAAAGCCAGCCGGCGGGGGGGCAACAGGAGACCGAGTTATTTTCTCAAATCCGCCAAAACTACAGCCATCCTTTCTTTCTCCCTGTGTCAGCCACTGATACCGCCGTTCCTCCACCTCTGCATCTCTTCTTTCGCCTCCTTAGTGACGTTTTTCCCACAAAACGTACCATCCTCACCACTGTCAGTGCACATGTCAGCGGCGCTGAATGCATTTGTACCCTTGCACAGTTATTACAACCACAGTCCATGTTTACAGTTCTCTGCATGTGGCAAAACTGAAATGCTATGATGATGCGGTGTGACAGTAACCTCGTTCCTCAGCCACAGCTACCACTAGTCTAGGTGAACTGGACTACTTTAGGTGCTCCATGTCATCTAGATGGAGTCAGCCAGTAACAGGGTTATTTCACTTAGTGGGATGTCCTCAAGGCCAGCCCTCGAGGTTGCAGGTGCCAGTTTCCTTCCTTTCGAAGGCTGTGCCCTACTCCACTGTCTGTCTGTACACAGCATTTTGCTTACACACTAATCTCCCGGTTGACATTGGGTTGCTTCTGCACTTTGGCTATTGTAAACAATGTGGCCACAAGTACAGTATATAAATATTTCTTCTAACACTCTGCCTTAAGTTCCTTCAAGTGTACACCCCCAAAAGGAATTTCTGGATCAAATGGTAATTCTGACTTTACTTTTTTGTTTTTTGTTTTTTTTTTGCGGTACCAGGGATTGAACTCGGGACTTATTCTACTGAGCTATGCCCCCAGCCCCTGACTTTAATTTCTGAGTAAGGGCTAACCTGATCCATGATGGCTGTGCCACTTTTCATCCCACTAACAGTGCACATAGACTTTATTTTTTTTAATTTATTTTTTATTTTTTAAAATTTTTATTTATTATGTATGTGTGTGTGTGGCCAGCTCAGCCCACCAGGGGGCGGGGCTGGCTGGCATGTGGTGCTGGGGGATTGAACCGCGGTCCCTGTGCTTTGCTAAGCTTGTTCTAAGCAGGTGCTTTAGACCACTGAGCCATCTCAACAGCCCCTGCACATGGACTTTATTTTTTTTTATTTTTTTTATTTTTTTTCCTGCCTCAGGTTTATTTGTACAAAGAGCACAGGAGGACACCAGCCCCCCACAGATGGCACCCCAGTCCTTCTGTTTTTACATCAGCAGTAAGAGGCTTTCACTGTGGAGTCTTCACAGGGGCCTGAGCACCTATGGGAGCCTGGGCTGGAGCAGAAGCTGGAGCCTGGGCCTTGGCTGGAGCAGAGGCTGGGGCCTGGGCCTTGGCTGGAGCAGAAGCTGGAGCCTGGGCCTTGGCTGGAGCCTGGGCCTTTGGCCGGCAGGCCCTGCGACCCTTGGCAATGCGGGCACGGATACGCTTCCCAAGCTTGGGGTGGGCAATATAGGCAAGTCGAGCGAGCCTGCGGTTTACTCCCTTTGGAATGATCTTGGGCTTGACCTCCTTGGGCTTGACAAGGGCCTTGATAGCCTCGGCACGTGCACTCATGGCCTTGGCATTGTTTGCTTGCATCTTCTTGAAGCCCTTCTTGTTGTGCTTCTTGGCAAAACGCATGTTCCTAAGGAACTTTGCATCCACCCCCTTCAGAGATTCGTATCTTTGTGACCGAGGTTTCTTGATGCCATTTCTGTGCCATTTTCGGGACTGGTTGTGCGTGGTGTGGTTCTTGGACTTGGCCATAACTGCACTGTAAACCGCGGCGACCAAGCGCCTGGAACCGGAAGATGAAAAGCTGCACATGGACTTTAATTCCCACAACTTGTCAACACTGTTTTTTTCCTACTTTTGATAGTAAACATCATAGCGGATGAAAAGTGGTGTCTTGCAACGGTTCTGATTTGCATTTCCCTGATAATTTCTAATGTGCAGCATCTTCTCATGTGCTTACTATTGTACTTTCCTTTTTGAGAAATGTTCCTTAGCTTTTATATTTAGTAAATAACCAAGTTTTTGATGATTGTGGCTTGAAAATATCTGTCTTCCTTTCCCATTTAAGTCCTTATTTCACATCTCAACATGTGCAGTAGCTATTCAAATGAAGAGCTTTGCCAATCACCTTAACACTACTCAATATTCCAAACCACTTTGAAAACTGTTAAACCTGACCTGAAATATCAAATTGTTGCCCCCAAACCTGTCAAATTTATCTGCTGGACATGAAAATATTCTAGTCTCAGGTAAACTCATCTGTTTGCTACTAACAACTTTTACCTTTGTGTGTGCCTATCTAACGTACTCCCATCAGCATACTCGACATTCTCCTCACCTGTGGTGTTGCTGATCTTCTAAATTTTAGCATTTTGATGGATATTTAGTGGTATGTCTGTGTAGTTTTTATTTTCATTTTTTCCAATGACTAGTACTAACCATATATTTACTTTTTTTTGGATGTACCTGACTTTACAAAGTTCTGCATGTAACAGTGGGCAGAAGGGTTTTATCAGATACATATATTGCAATATTTTCTTCCTAGAACTTGCTTTCTTAATTGTTAGGACTGAACCTTAAATGTTCTCCCAGAGGTCCATATGCTAGGGGCTTGGTTGCTGACCTCTGGTGACAGAACCTCGAGGACCTACTCCATTGTCTGTGTGGGGGCAAACCTGTGGCACATGTGCTGCCGCAGGCTGTGCTGTTGCTGAGAGCTCTACAAGGTTTGCCATCACTGCTCCAGAAGTAGGGGCCTGCTGGTTGGAAGTTATGCCACTGGAAGAATGCCCTGGCAGGGGCTGCTGGACCCCGGTGACCCGCCTCATCTCACTGCCTAGTCACCATGAGGTGAGCAGCCCTTCCCCTCTGTACTCTCATTGTGATATTCTGCACTACCACAGGCCCTTCATCAATGGTGCCAACCAACAATGCAATGAAACTGTATAGAAAACAGCTCCCTGAAAAGAAAACAAAAGAAAAGAAGGGCCGGCCAAATAGCTCAGTGGATTAAATGCAGGGGCAGGGGTTCTATCTCTGGACCTGCTGTGCTGGCCCTGCCACCGGGGTGTGCTCAGATGGCAATTGAGACTGGGCATGGTAGTGCGTGCCTGTAACCCCAGCTCTTGGAAAGCTGTAAACAGGTGGATCACTACGAATCCAATCTAGTAGTGAGACCCTGAACACCCTGTAGACCCTTCCCTAGATTACAAAAAAAAAAAAAGAAGAAGAAAACAGCCTTCTCAGCCAAACTTCAGTTTCTTAGTTGCCCAGGGTAACAGTTCCTGTTGCAGTTTTGGTTGCCTCTATCTTTTAGAAACAGCTGGTCACTGTGATGCATAGTGCAAGAACCGATCAGAGATAGCCAACTACTCGACCACTCTACTCCCTCTTTTGCAGCACCATAAGAGCCTCCGTCCCTGGGCCTTCAAGGCCTGACACTTTGAGGGACAACTGACTCTGTCATGTCCGTCCAATGTTAAGTAAATCTGCCTCTAAATCCTTGGGGTCACTTCAGGATTTCTGCTTGCTGCTGCAAAACCACGGGCCACAGTAAACCTTTTTTTGGTAGTGTAATGGCGATTGAACCCAGCGCCACACACTGAGCTTTGTTTCATTTGTTAAAGACAGGGAGTTGTTGCTGGGCATGGTGGCACTTGCCTGTATTCCCAGCACTCAGGAGACTAAAGCAGGAGGATCACAAGTTCAAGGTCAGCCTGGAATATGTAGCAAGACCCCAGACAAACTCAAATGTGACCAGGCTGGCCTTGAGCCTATGATTACTCTGCCTCAGACTCTCAAGTAATTGCAATAATTGCGGGCACAACTGTACCAGGCTCCAAGTTCTTATGTGTTAATTTTCACATCAGTCCCTATAAGTATTTATCCAATTTATAAATGAAGAAACTAAGGAGATGTTAAATATCTTGCCTGAGAGTATTCAGCTAGAACCCACGCATTCTACTCACGGGGTCAAATTTTTCCTCTTCCTCCTCCTCTTCTAAACTTTTAGAATTTTCATTCTTTTCTTCTTCATTTTGTTGTTCAGCATATCTCAAAATCCACTCTTTCATATTTATTTCCACATTTTTTTCTTCCTTTTTTGGCTAGAAAGAGAAAAAAAATCTGAAAAACTGAAGTGAAGAAAATGTCAAAACTATCAAGGGCCTGCTTTTATAATTTCTGCTACAAAAATAGTAGACACATAAAAATCCCTAAATCATAGTCTTCATTATTCAGTGAAGGATAAGCTAAATGCAACACTATTTTAAGCACTGTAAACTTAAAAATCCAGTATGCTTGGAGTAACACTGTTACAAACTAGTGTTGTCCCTTTAAAGCAGGAGTGTCCTAAGTATACTTCCATCGTGGCTGGCTCGTTTGCAGAGCACGATGCCCTAATGACGATGCCTCCCGGAGCCCGCAGCCTCCTGTAACTTGCAGAGATGCCGGCTTCGGCTGTGTGAGCTGCGTACATCAACGCAGGGCCTTGCTAAGAATTTGTACACAGGAGCGCACCATTTCTAAATATCTAAGTCCTCTATATCTGTGGATTTAGCCAACCCTCACAAAATATTCAGAAAACACTGTATCTGTGCTGGGCATAGAGCTTTTCTTTTCCTAGTTCCCAACCAACACGGTATAACAACTACTTAACACAGCACTGACATTACAAGTCAGACTCCTCAGAGACCATCATATGGGAAGACGTCCAAGCTAAGCGTACAAGTGACCACACAGACAAAGGCTGCCTGCTGCCTCTGGCACAGTCCCAACTCCTGGAGTAAGGAGGCACTACAGATGTCTGTTATGGTTTGTGTCTACTTGCCGCCCAAAGCCTCATGCGGTCATGGGGCGGCTTCTGGAGTTGGTGATTCATTCAGGATCCAATGCTGGGACTAGGGGTGTGAGTGCCCTGAGGGAGATACTCTGCAGAACAATGTGAGGACGGGAGAGAGGCCAGCTAGCTGCCCGAGCTGCTGCAAGAGAAGAGTAACTGAGATGATGTCGCAGGCCTAGCAGGCAACTTCTTAGAACAGAAATGTTCAGCTGAACACGGCCTAGACTGCAAAGTCATGAGAAATAATACAGTCAGTTCAAACCACAACCTTTTAGGATGGGTAGTTATGCAGTAATAGAAAACTGGGGTCGACAGTCGTAGAAAAGTTTGGCATACATTTAGTCATTTTTAAGAAGTAAAAATATTACAGAAACCTCATATTCACATTCTTAAGAATACAAGGGATTCATTCTGATTATGCATAGCTTTGCAAGTTTAATTCTTCACTTACCTTGACCTTAAGGTCTTCTTCCGCTTTTTTGGTTCTAATCTGCGGTAGAGGTGCAACAGGGGCTTGTGTTTGAGGGGACTGAAACTTCGGCCTGTTTTTAGGTTGTTGCTCTTCAAATTCCTGACTGAATCCTTCAGGAAGTGCATCTTAAGATAAAACAGACTGTGTTGAAAATTAACATGCATATAATACTTAAAGTACACAAGTACTTGCTAAGCACACAGGAAGCCCTCCCACGACGTAGGATACCGATTTTTCTTCTACTCTTCATCTCCCTAGAAACCCTGTGAGGACCCTGGATGTACCTGCCGAGCCAGAAACGGGCACACTCCTCAGGTGACAGCTAGCCCACCCCGTATTTGCAACTCATTTCCTCCTCACTCTCAGGCTCCCCAATTTTTCATTAAAAGGTCTTTACCCCTCCCATTCTTTGGCTTTGTTACAGCACTTGGCAGTATTCTTTTATTATTATTATTAAACTTATTGGTACACTTTAGATGCACATAATGATCATATTCGTCCCAGAGAATTGTACCCGTATGTGAGATATCGATTCCTTTTTTCTCCAATCCCCTCCTCTCTTCAGCCACCTGCTTCCCCTCCTTATTTATAGATTTTGTTTCCATTCTATCCTTCTTTTAAAATTTTTTCATTTCCCTTCCTTCCTTTCCCCTCCAACCTCCTTAGAGCCCACTTTGAACAATTTCTTCCTATTTCACAATGCCCATTATGCACTTTGGTCCTTATTTACACTCTGGTTTCTCATACCAGGGAAACAATGCGGTATTTACACACGTGTGAGTAATTTATTTCACTTAAAAATATGGTCTTTAGGTGCCTCCATTTTCCTAGAAATGTCTCAAGTTTATACTTCTGTATGGCTGAGCAATATTCTAAGTGAATTACAAAATCACATCTTTTAATTTATTCCTCAGCTGATGAGCATTTGGGTGGTTTACAACATTTAGCTATTATGAACTGTGTTGCTATAAACATGGGAGTGCATATATCACTGTATGTTTTTAATTCTTCCAGGGAAGATACTTTAAAAAAGGAAACAGCTGGGTCAAATGGAACCTATAATCCTATTTTTTGAGGAATCTCCACACTGATTTCCACATTAGTTATACCAGTCTACACTCCCACCACCAGTGGAAAAGAGTTCCCTTTTCCCCACAGCCCCATTAGCATTTGTTATTGACTGACTTCTTGATAATATCCATTTTTTCTGGAGTGAGAATCTCAGAATTGTTTTAATTTCTCAAAGGGGAATGTATTCTTAATCTGTCACAAAAGCTTTCTGTAGTCTAGACCCTTGCAAAAGATTAAATCCATGCTTCTCTGTTCAATCAAATATTTATATCCAAGGATAGCCCCAATTTCTACATCAAAACCCCAAAAGACACAGCCTAATAGGTTTGTTTTATATATGTATGTATATATGTATGTATGTATGTATGTATGTATGATATGTATTTAGTATGTGTGTACATATATATGTATTTAGAACAGGGTCTACAGGGTCTTATTACACAGATCAGACTTGCCGTGATTCTCCTGTTTTCAGCCTCCCAAAAGCTGGGATTATGGGTGCACATCACCACATCCAGTCTCTGTATTTGCCTAAGCAGGTGCTTTAATCCACTGAGCTATCTGGTTGGCCTTCCGAATAGGTTTTAGACAGGCAAAGTATGTGTATTGTAAAATAACCATAAGCAGTTGCTTACAGTCATTTATTTCTAAAATTAATTAATTAATTTTGTGATGCTTGGGATCATGCGCAGGGCCTTCGGCACAAAGCAAGAGCTTGCCCCTGAGCCGTTTCCCCAGACCCCAACAGCTGTTTATAAGCAACACACAAAAAGAAATTTCTTGCATACACCACAACCTCTAAGAAGAATATAAAGAATTAAATTAAGAACATGTCAAAAGTAAGTAATTACGATGGTGAAAAGTTTTTTTTTTTTTTTTTTTTTGCAGAACCGGGGATTGAACTCAGGCCCTTGCGCTTGCCAGGGAAGCGCTTATTCCACTGAGCCATCTCCCCGGCTCTTTTTTTTCTTTTTGATGGTGAAAAGTTTTAAGTACAAGTCACCAGGATGATACAAATACCAAAACAATTATTTCAAAGTGTTTCAGAAACTGGAAGAATTTAACAACGGAATGGTTTACCATCTGGAAGGTTTAGGCAGAGCCAGTCCAAAGCAGAGTGAAGGTCACCGCCATGCGAGAGCGTGCTGGCCATGGCCTCTTCAATGTCCTTCGTCTTAAATGAAAGGGCTTGTAAAGCCATGTATAAATCCTATGGAAAGAAAACATTAAAAAAACAAAAAAACCCACCTGTCATTTTTTCTTCTTTTACACTTAATTTTATTTGCATCCATTTTTCAATCAGAAACTAACCAAATACTATTCTTTAAAATAGCTTTTTTTGGGGGAGTGTAGAGGAGGTGTAGATTGCTTTCTTACTATGCATAAGGTCTTGAGTTCGGCGTTCCAGCACCAGCCCTACACACACACTCACACACAGAGGAAAACGTATATACACATCTTCCCATTCCCCAAATAAAAACTTAAATGTATTCAATATAGTGAGATTTTTGGAATTACAAATAATTTTATTATCTTAAGATACTCTTTTTTATGTAGTAGGTTTACTTATTTTCTTATACTTTTGTATAAAACACTTCAGTTAACATTAGAACCTAGGCATCTTCTCAAATTATTAGCAACTCTTTACAGCACTTTTAATAGCTACATGCTATGCCACTAAGTGCCTTTTCCTATGAATGAACACTTAGGAAGTCTTTTGTTGAAAGCAGAGCTTCAATGACACCGTTCTATAAGGCGTTCTGATACACTCTCGACAGTAGGATCTTTACAGTGGGGCAGAACTGGGCTCAAATTTAGCTCTGCTCACTCTCCTCTTTATTGATTACTAACTTTAGGCTATAACTTGTCATCTTTCCAAGCCTCAATTCTTTGAAACAATAGAGGCCAAGTACATCTACTTTGTAGGACCGTTGTCGCAAGAAATGTGAGTGAACGACTCAGCAGGGTCAAACGCATAACGCAACTTGGGGAATGTAAATAGCTTTCACATCATCATTTCATCGTGTGAAATTATACCAGGCACAATTCTGTTCTTGGAGACGCAAGCCATCTATATGAGATCTTGATGGAAGCTGGAAATACCATTTTTATCCCGTGTAGAGCTGTCTAAAAATGTCACACACTAAAACTAAGCAATTTTTTTAAGAAGTGTGAAAAATACCTGTAATTTTTTGGCCGTAAGTCTTCCAGAAATCACCCCCTTGTCATTATTTTGCTTTTTATGCTCATTGATCACTCCAATAATTCTTTGTTCTAGCTTGTTATTAATCACCACCTGTTTAAGCCAGAAAGTTGCAGCAATTAGAAGCCAAACTTTCTATAAGGTCAGTATCTCAAGACAGTGTCCTTGGATCACCTTGGATTGCTATGACCAAGACAGATTACTAAACCCCACCCTACACATGATGAGTCCAAATCTGTAGGAATGAAATCCAGAAATCTGCTTTAATGTAAACCAACACAAACACAAAGCTTGACAGAATGAATGCTACACTAAAAAAGGGGAATATCAAATAAAAATAAAATTATATCTATGGGGCCGGGGAGATAGCTCAGTAGAATAAGCGCTTGCCTGGCAAACACAAGGGCCTGAGTTCAATCCCCAGTTTCGCAAAAAAAAAAAAAAATTATATCTATAATAGAATTAATAGGTAACACAAAATCCTCTGACCGGAGTTTAATTCTCATTTTGTTCTATTAGCTACTTATGCACGGTTGTTCCACATTTTTACCTGTAAACTTCTACCAGCAAAAATACCTTCTCTTTATCACTTCTTAATTGAATGCCTACCATAAAATACAAAAATGTACTTTAGGAATTCAAAGCCCAGCCAGGAAACACATATAAAGAAACAAATTATAACCCAGCATGACAACACTTTAAAAAGATGTATTCAGGGCTGACAGATCCAAGACAACTGACCTGGCGAGTTACGTAGGCCTTAAAGAGGAGGGTCAAGAGATAAGTAAGTACAAGGAGCAAGTGAGGCATTCTGGGTGGAGAACACATTGGGAAAAAGTCTGCAGTCATAGAATCAGGTGGCATTTGGCAGAGCAAAGAATGTCCCATGCACTACAGCTTGAAGTGGAGAAGAGTAGTGGACAGAGGAGGAAGGGAAAGTACTCTAAGTTATACCTGAGAGCACACAGACACCATGCTTAGAAATTTGGAACTTATCCAGAGCTTCCTTAATTTCTTAGAAGCTCTCAACATATGTGTACAATTTACTTCTATTTAATAAGAATAGCTCTTCGATTACTATTTAAAATATTCTATTGTTTTCCTATATTTAAGAATATGTCATTTTTAAAAAAAAGTATATTTCTTGAATTGACTCGGTTACTTACTTTCAAAATAGATTTATCCAAATTCGCAGGACCACCAGCATCATTTGAAGAATTGAAACTATAAATTTTGGGACCTGTATATAATAGACAACAAATAGTCAAGGCCATTTAATAATTAATATCCATTGTGCTATTTTAATTTTTCTCTAAAATTTTTCTAAGCATTGAGTATTTAATTGCAGCATCACCCCTCAATTCACCAAATGAGTCAATCCAGCAGTTAGCAATGTTCCATCTAAACTATTTTACAAATTACCATTCTTCTAGTTTAATTACTTTCTCCTAAAATACAAAGCCTTCTTTTTAGGTTAAGCCTGTGTTCATCTTCATATTTTTTAATCAGATGCATTTCTTTCTGGCCCTGAGAGGAAGCTCTAAGACTTCCTGGATTCTAACAGATGGTTGGCACAGCTGGGTAACTCCAAAGCGAAAGTATTCCTCCCCAAAAGTGAGATGATACGTGAAGAGGAGGCAGGAGGTCCACCTTTTCTCCTCACACTTAAGTCCAAAGGTAGCTTAGTTTTCTAAAGTTGTCACAGCAAATCACCACAAATTTGATCTGTGAATATGCCAGGAATTTATTCTTTCATAATTCTGGAGGACAGAAGTTCCAAATCAACATATGGACAGCCAGGTTCCCTCGGCGGGTTTTAGGCAAGACACCGTTCCTTCCAGCTATGCTCGCCCCAGCGCTGCTTGGCTTGCTGGTAACGCAGCTGTAGTCACAACTCTTCCACACCACCTTCCTGCCCTGCCTCTTCACATCCACATCTCCTCGTTATTTCCCTCATGCCAACAGTCATTGGATTTAAGGCCCAAACTAAATTTAGAATGATTTCATCTCAAGATCTTTAATTATAACTGTAAAGACTCTATTTCCAAATAAGATCTCATGCTGAGGTTCCAGGAATATTTTAGGGGTACACTAGCCACTTAATCCACTAAAGTTGTCAAGTTTGTTCCAGGCAACAGAAATGTTATTATCTCCTCAGTCAGCTAACAATGAGTAACAAGGAAGGACTAAATGCTACTTTCAAACTTTTCATCTCATCACCTCTTTTCTCTCTTCAAAATTACTAAGAATCCAAATAATTTCTATATAGGTTATATCTATTGATTTGCTTGCCACATTATAAAAGAATTTAGCTATTGTGAAATCATTAGATACAGTAACACCAGTATATATACTAATATAGATCAACCTTTTAGAAAATATATCAATATTTAATATTTTCCAGTTTTGTAATTTTTTTTTTTTTTTTTTTTTGTGGAACCGGGGATTGAACTCAGGCCCTTGCGCTTGCCAGGGAAGCGCTTATTCCACTGAGCCATCTCCCTGGCCCCTGTAATTTTTTTAAACTCAGGGTTTCTTTCATCTAGCAAATCACCCTCTCCCTCTCCGGGGTCTCACTGTGTACAGTAGTCCACGCTGTCCTGGAATTCACTATGTAGCCCAGGCTGGCTTTGAACTTGAAGCCATCCTCCTGCCTTAGCCTGGGCCGCCATGCTGAGCAACTCTAATGTCTGCTCAAAACACCACAGACTTTGTTTTAAAATGTATTTATTACAGGGTCTCACTACACAGCTTGGACTCATAGTGATCCTCCTGTCTTTAGCCTCCTTGGCCTGGTCTCAGTGGCTGGCTCAGCGGGCCCAGGGGCGAGGCTGGTGCACATCAAATCGGGTCCCTGCACTTAGCCAAGCAGACGCTTAGTCCACTGAGCTACCTCGCCGCCGGCCCTAACACTACAGACTTCTGCGTGGCTTTAACAAAACTTGGTTTGTCATAGTTGCAGAGGCTGACACATACAAGGGCAAGCTGATAGCTGTAGAGGTTCTGTTCTGTTCTGGGCCACCTTCCCTTGCTTTATAGGGGGCGTGCTGTACCCTCATATGGGATTTTCTCCATTCTTCCCTCATGGAGACCTGACACTCAGGTGCTTCCGATATGGACACTAGCTCTAGTACACCAGGATCCCACCACAGGACTTCATTTAATCTTCAGCACTCACTTAGAGGCTTTCTCTCTAAATACTGCCACACTGTGGACTGCAGTTTCAATACATGAAATTTCGGCACACAATTAATCTGTAACATTCGGCTTACATACTCAATTTGCCGTAACAATATACAACATGTACCTCTGTCATATTCACTAGGTGGAAATCAGGGTCCCTAAATGTGGGCACGTTTTCATTTTGATCAATGACCTAAAGAATTGTAGCAATTATGACATTTTACCACAGAGATAACAGCTAAACAAGGGCCTGTCATTTTTGAATTCTTTCTCAAACATGTTGACATATGATATTTAACCAGTATGAATAATAATTCTAGGATTTGGAAGGTGCTTTGAGCTTTTTTTTTTTTTCTTTTTTGGTGGCACTGGGGATTGAACACGAGGCTTTCACACTGAGCTACATTTCTAGCCCTAAATTGCTAACTTGCCCTGGCTGGGCTCAAACTTGAGCTCCTCCTGCCTCGGTATCCCAGAGAGCTGGGTTACAGGCGTGCACCACCACACCCGGCTGGCGGCCACTCCAGAATGCCAACCTGACAGCTTTCCGCCCCAGGCTTTAAGCCGTTACACAGGAGAGACTGAAGATGCCAGAAGAAAATAGACATTCCATCTTGTTAAATTGATAACTCTAACTCTGAGTACAATTTGAAGTCAGTAGGCCACGGAATAATGTTGGATCCCATAAGTAAAGGGCCTAACATTTCTTTTCTTTTCTTTTTTTTTTTCTTTTTTTTTTTTCTTTGCAGAACCAGGGATTGAACTCAAGACCCTTGTGCTTGCCAGGGAAGCACTTATTCTACTGAGCCATCTCCCCACCCCGGGCCTAAGATTTCTGACAGTGCCTTTCCTTAGCACATCCAGCCCTCTTTTCGTAAGTTTTGGTTTTTTGCTTCCGATCGTAGAGGTTACTGGAAATCTAACTGGAGGGAGGGATGACAGTGTGTACAGCATCCAAGGCAAAAGTATTATGCATACCAAATTTATAAATGAAATTATGGGGCAACATAACACATAAAGCTGCCTCTCAAAAATATTTATTATACTGAAAATGAAAATGGATAAACTAAGTCATTACCTTAAGGTAACTCAGCTAATTAAAAAAAAAAAAAAAAAAACCCTACCAGAATCAGTTTCATGTTGCCCTGTACTCTATTAGAAAGTATTCCGTTTACTCTGCCCTGTGTGTTACATCAAACAGCGATATTCATGACTAAGACACCTCCTCTGAGTTGCTGGCACTCTTAATTCCCTTCTGGTCAATAGCGGGTTCATCTGCAAAGAGGTTAATCTGCCAAGGGACCCAAAGGGGAGCTGGGTTGTGCGTAAGACCCTGTCCCTGTTCTCATGGGGCTTTACTCCAGTGTAATACAATTAGCAAGGAACCAATTACCAAAATAAACTAAAATAGTAAGTGCCAAGAGAATAGATCAGAGCAAACGATACAACCTGAGCAGCCAGGCCCTGTGAGGACGCACACGCCACCAGAGCTGCTGGATTGGCTTTAAGATGCACGCCCGTCAGCTCTCAGTACAGACGCGGCTCCCCCTCCACCCGCACTTGGGTTGGCCCCTTCCAGACCTCTGATCTCCTTTTGTCACTCTCCCTCTCTAACTCCACCTGCAGATGGTTTTCCTGTAATACGTCAGGCTCGCTGCCACTTTTGCATCTTGGCGCTGTTCCCTCCGCCTCAAATACAGACTCCAGCCGTTCCGGCAGCAGGCTGCTTCGGATCAAGTGGCCTAAATGTCTCCTATGGGGAGCCGTTCCTATTTCAAACCAAAACACACCTCACCACATTTGTCTTCCCAAGTCACTATTCTCTGTCCTTTACAGAATGTTTTGATCACTCCCCCACCATATTTAGAATAGTTTTTGTGAATTTATAACACGAGTCTCCCAGTATTACTTTCTAGATTTAAAACTTCAAAGTTCCAGAAACACAAGACTTCACCCCGCAAAAAAAAAAAAAAACCCAAAAATTGAAACTCTTTCTTTGGTCCGACTGACACCATGGCAAGTGGCTGAGCTAACTGTAAGCAGGCTAGAGGTGAAAATGCTCTTTTTCTTTTGGAGATGGCATCTAGGCTGTCTCTGAAGTCACGGCAACACTCCTGTGCCAGTCCCCTGAATGGTGGGGTCACGGGCACCTTGCCTGGCCAGGCAGAGGAAGTTCTAAGGCAAAGACACAGGAACAGAAAGGAAAAGTGGAGGCCAGAAATGGAAAGATGGGAAAGGGGTTGCTATTTCTAGAACGTGCAAGCCACGCACCTCAGGGCCTTCCCTGTTCTCACTTGGAAGGCCTCACGCAGATACTAACTTACACACCTCCTTTGCTCAAAATCACCTCTCTGTGATGTTTCCTGACCATCTGCTTTAAAAATGATATTCCTTCTACCCTTCTCTTTACTTATCGGCTATGGTAAATTTCATAGCACTTAGCGCAAGCGCAGAAGAAATTCTGCTTATCATCTGACCCACTAAAGTCTCCATCCTGCCCTCTAGTTCTGAAAACAGTGATGTTTTCTTGCTGTGGTATCCCCGGTGCCTAAAATTTTTCTTGGCATGTTATTAGCGCTTCAGAAATGTTTTGAGAAACTAACGAACAAACAGGAAAAGCAAGAATGCCCCCAATGTGGCAAGAACCGTCTGGTGGCACCAGAAGTGGCCTCTAGGTTACAGCACATTGTGATAAACTGCGCTGTGTTGGATCCTTGACAGTACTTGAAAAGATAGCAAGGGGTCGGAACAGCTATGCGGGGTCGGAACAGCTA